GGTTTAGGGCTTCTGGTTTGGGGTTTAGGGTTTAAGTGTCTCGGGTTTAGGGTTTAAGGGCTTAAGGGTTTAAGGGTTTAAGGGTTTACGGCTCAGGGTGAAACTCATACGGGTCTCCGGTTTAGGGTTTGGGGCTTCGGGGCTTTGGGTTCAGGGCTTTGGGTTCAGGGTTCAGGGTTCAGGGCTTCGGGGTTGAGGGCTTTGGGTTTGAGGTTCAGGGCTTTGGGTTCAGGGTTCAGGGCTTCGGGGTTGAGGTTCAGGGCTTTGGGTTATACCCCTCTACCATAGTTTATCCCAAATCCGCTCTGGGCTCGTTAACCCTCTACGTCCGGGTAGTCTTGACAAGTTGTAACCACAATGGTCGTAGAGACCATCGTAAACATAGAGATAGCAACAGTCACCACAACCATGACAATAACAAGAACAAGACCAGCAACAGCAGCAGCAAAACCAAACCAGCAAACAACAACCGGCAAACAGCAAGCAGCAAACTACAAGCAGCAAGCAGCAAACAGCAAACAGTAGATAGCAAACAGCAAACAGCAAGCAGCAAACAGCAAACAGCAACCAGCAACCAGCAACCAGCGAGTAGCAAGCAGTAAGCAGCCGGCAGCAACCATCATAGAGTCCGAAGCTTCATGCACATTGAGACCCCCAGAACATCCAGTTGAAAAGTCTGAGATAGGCTTCAATTCCAAAGCTTTGCATCCTACGGAAGACGCCGTCTGTGCCAGCAATCTTTGACTTGATATATGGTGTGAACGATTACGAATACGAGTCTGTATATAACTATCATGATTATGCTCTGAGCTATTGGAACTCGTATATTGCACCGACCTTGAACATTGTCCGGTTTAGGGTGTTTGGTTTTCGTTAGTTCAGATTTTGGGGTTTAGGGTGAAAAGGTTGAGTAGTTTAGGTTTGGGCACCCTGACTTTCCAATCCTGGTCGACAGGAGGACTCAACATCTGTATGGGAGTTCCCGAAGCTACCTTATTTTAGGGGTCCTTATAATAAGGACCCTACTATTTAGGGGTACGATATTAGGGTCCCCTTTTTTCGGAAACCCCCACATCTGCATCCGCAGCAGAGAAACTGCCGAAAGCCTGTCGAACTTCGCCCCGTTGATTTCCACGACTGCCTTGTGAACTCTCATGAGAACCCTCAGCCCTGCATCCCTGCACTAACGCCTCCGCTCTGCTGCAAGGCCCAAAGGTATCATGCCATAAACCCAAGACCCTAAACCCTAAACCCTAAACCCTAAAGCCTAAATCCTAAATCCCTAAACCCTAAATCCCTAAATCCGTAAATCCTTAAACCTTAAATCCCTAAACCCTAAATCCCTAAATCCCTAAATCCCCGAAACCCTAAACCTTAAATCCCTAAACCCTAAATCCCTAAAACTTAAATCCCTAAACCCAAAATCCCTAAATCCCTAAATCCCTAAACCCCGAAACCCCAGACCCTACTTACAGGATCATGGGACTTAGTAAGTAGGGTTACAACTAAGGTAACTATACTTATATTGACTTATAATCCCAATTAAGGAACTTCTAACCTTACTTCCTAAGTCCCCTAAACCCTAAACCCTAAACCCTAAACCCTAAACCCTAAACCCTAAACCCTAAACCTTAAACCCTGAACCTTAAACCCTAAACCCAAACCCCTAAAGCCCCTAAGTCCCATGATCCAAGCTACCAGCACAGGTCTGCCAGCTGCTCGTCTTCTCATTTCAGAGAGGCCGAGAGAGGCCGGGGGACGATGACGGTCGCGGGCTTTGAGTTTGGGTTTAGGGTTTAGAGTTTAGGGGTTTGGGGTTTAGGGTTTAGGGTTCAGGGTTTAAGGTTTAGGGTTTAGGGCTTTGAGTTTAAAGTTCTGCCTGGGTTGAGGGTTTAGGGTTTAGGGGTTTAGGGGCTTAGGGGTTTAGGTGCTTAGGGGTTTAGGGGTTTAGGGTTTAGGGTTTGTAAGGTTTAGGGTTTAGGGTTTCGAGTTTGAAGTAAGGGTAATATAGGTGCCTAAATCATTGCCTATACCAGTTTGGGGTTCCCTAGTATAAGCATAGTATAGTGGGCCCCAAGACCCTATTGAAAAATTATTAAGGCTTCTACATTAAGGTGTCCACCAGGCTTTGAGTAGGGTTTAGGGGTTTAGGGGTTTTGAGGTTTAGGGTCTAGGGTTTAGGGGTTCAGGGATTTAGGGGTGTCGGTCCACCGCTCTTTGGGTGTTGCTTGGAGGATTTAGGGTTTGGGGGTTAAGGTTTAGGGTTTCAGTATTAAATTACTTCTGCAACGGTTTGGGGCTCAGTTCAGGAAGCGCAACCCGAAGCCCTAAATTCAAAAACCCTATAAGCCCGCGCCCTAAACCCTAAAACTCAAACCCCTAAGCCCTAAACACAGAGCCCTATTAACCCACACCCTAAACCCTAAAACTTAAACCCCTAAGCCCTAAACACGGAGCTCTATTAACTCACACCCTGAACCCTAAAACTTAAACCCCTAAGCCCTAAACACAGAGCCCTATTAACTCACACCCTGAACCCTAAAACTTAAACCCCTAAGCCCTAAACACAGAGCCCTACTAACCCACACCCTAAACCCTAAAACTTGAACCCCTAAGCCCGAAACACAGAGCCCTATAAAACCCACACCCTAAACCCTAAAACTTAAACCCCTAAGCCCTAAACACCGAGCCCTACTAACTCACACTCTAAACCCTAAAACTTAAACCCCTAAGCCCTACACACAGATCCCTAAACCCCAAACCCTAAACCCTAAACCCTAAACCCCAGAGCCCTACTGTCCCTGCGCCTTAAACCCTAAAACTTAACACACAGAGCCCTAAACACAGAGCCCTACTGTTCCGTTTGCAGGCATGGAGAAGAAATCCACCAAGCACACCAGCCTCCGTGATCTTCACTACGCCCCTCGGCTAACCCAGAGACGGTTTAGGGTTTAGGCTTTAGGGTTTAGGGTTTAGGGTTTAAGGTTTAGGGTTTAGGGTTTAGGGAATAACACAGGCTACTCAGAGACTCCAAAACCCCTTAACTAAGGAATATACCTATTAAATCATGTTAGGGATCCTAGTATACTTTAAGGTATATTCCTGGAGTCTCTGGGAATGTAGGACCCTGATTAAGAAATCCTGTGCCTTTATTAGGGGTTCTTAATATGAATTCTACTGTTTTGGGGGTTATAGGGCCAGGGTTTCTGAATCAGGGTCCTACATTCGTGATGAGGTTTCGGCCGCAGTGAGGGTTCAGGGTTTGGGGCTGCAAGTTTTCAGGGTTTAGGGTTTTGGATGCAGACCCTAAACCCTAAGCCCTAAACCCTAAACCTTTGGCTCAAGGGGTCGGTGTGTGTGTGTATTGGTGCCCCGAAAGTGTGTGTCCGGTAGCGTGGTCCTTGCGCGTCTGCCTGCGGGGGCCCTTGGTGATCGTCCGCTGGAAGCCTTGCGCGGGGCGAACTCGCGTTGAGTGGCAGTGGCGGCGCCGAAGCCTGCAAAACTACGAGGCGTTCCATGGCGAAGTCGAATAAGCAGAAGGTCCAACTTGGCGGGGCAGACATCCCGGTGCCGGTGAACGATGTGGCTGGTGACAGCGATGACCTCATGAGTCCTACGAAAAAGAGGGCGTCCGAAGCGGCTCAGAGTTCGGGGAAGCGAGAACGGGGCACCTCCCAAACCCTCTCCCTCGACTATAACAGCCTCAGGGACTTACTTCGCGAACAGAGCGCGGAACTTTTGGGGAAGCAGAAGCACCAGCTGGACGAGGCCATCGGCGAGCTCGAGACACGTACTTTTTCCAGGGTAGATGCCATTCAAAATCAGGTTGTCGGGCTGGAGGAGAAGCACGAGTCCTTTGAGGCCAAGCTCGGGGAGCTGGAAAAGGGGCTCAAGCACATCGAGGAGATGGTCAAGGGTGGTCATGGGGGCTCGGCGTCCGGAGGATCCTTCGTCTCCGAGGACAAGCGGCAATCCACACTTGTCGTGGGAGGCTGGCCCAAGGACTCCCGCCGGAAAGCTATCCTGGCTGACCTCAAGGAGGCCTTGGAGGCGTTGCAACTCACGAAGTACCAAGACGAGCCAGCCTTCTGCACGGGACCCCGAAGGAGTGTGGCGCTGGTTCCCATGGGAAAGAGACAGAGCGAGACACCTCAGGGGCACAGAGACCGCATGTTCAAGTTCGTCCAAGCCTTTGCGGCGGCGGAGGTTATGACCAGGGATGGTGTGAGGCTCTGGTGCAGCTTCTCGAAGACGCCAGAGCAGAGACAGATCTCGTCACATGCAGGGCTTATTAAGAGGGTGCTGGCGCGCTTCCTTGACGACGTCTCCGACTTGGTGGACATCGAGTGGAAGACAGGAACAGTGTGGGCTGATGCCGGAATGCTGGGGAGCGCGTGCCTCCCTTTCCCTCCAGGTACAGATGTTCGCAAGACCGAAGTCTTCGATGACACACCGAGGAAGCACTGGATAAATGTGGGGTTGATCTCTGTGCTTACCAAGCAGACGGCGCAGGCAGTACGTGAAGCTTTTCAGGACGCCAGGCACTGACTCTCGGGCCAAGCTCGCCACTGCGAGAAATTTTCTCCGATGCATGACCCCGATGCTATGGATGCAGGGGAACCTGGGAAGCCGCGAGCCTTTGCAATACCAGCAGAGGGATGTACAGCAAGGCGGCATCAACTCTTTCGTTTCAAAGTCTTTGGGTGGAACGTCGGTGGATGTGATATCACTGACTTAGGGCAGCACTTTCGGGAGGGCTGCAAAGCTGCTCTGCCACAGGATGCTGTCCTTACGTTGCAGGAACTGCCACGAGGAGAGGAGGGATGGTCAAAAGAGAGGTACGGACAATGGAGTGTGTTGAGCTGCAGACCTGTTGGTATGTGGAGAGCAGCGGGGATTGCCTACAGAGACACAGAGTGGACAGTCGTCAAGAGAATTATGGCAGGCAGAGGGATATGGGTTCGGATGAGACACCTACCTAGCGCAGTCGAAGCCTGGATTGGGTCGGCACACTTCAGCCCGGGGTCAACGGCTGAGCAACATGAGGGGGAGGTGCGCGAATATTTATCGGGGTTACCGGCAACGGCAAGCAGGGTTATTTTGCAATGTGATGCAAATGCGGCCTTTACGTGGGGTGTTTTCGATGGAGTGGTCCAAGCGGTTGGCAGGGACGTCAAAGCAATGGATACCCAGGGACAAATGCAGACGAGGGGTCTTGATATGGTATCGCCTAGCGCCCACCAGTTCCGCACACCCACCAGCAGGCCAAGACAGGACGGGAGACGAGGCCGTATTATCGACATCATGGCATGCCGAAGGGTCACCAGGGGCAGGGTTCAAGTTCATGAAGACTCATGCCACGTGCTTGGTACTGATCATGAGATTATTGAGGGTACCTTTGAAATACGGCCGCGGGGGGAGCACATCAGACATTGTACGAGACCGAGAGAAAGGGTTGGAGGGTGCGAGCGTATCTACCATGTGGATCAGGCCACCTTGGTACGCATGGCACAGGAGTGTACAAGGCCAAAACGTGGGTATGCATACAAGGACCCGCCCGAGGTCAAGCAGGCTGCTGCTCGAGCCAGGTTGGCTAAGACTCCTCAAGCCTGGCGGGAGGTCAGGAACTTGCGGAAGAAGGCAAGGAAGACGTGGGAAACAAGTCGAGTGGAGAGAGCGGCACAAGGGGATTGGCATGCCTTTCGAGCGACCAAGCACTCTGCCGACACTGGCTGGGCTGAGGGTTACGCTGCAGCGCAGAAAGAAGACCCGCATCAAACAATTCATGACCACCTCACGGAAGTGTATCGGGGCAGGCCACCAAGACCCTGCGCTGCCCTCCAGGAGGAAGTGCAGGCTTTCACCATCGAAGAGCTGGAGGTGGCACTGGGGCAAATGCAAGGGGGAAAGGCAGTGGGTTGTGATGGTACCTCAAAGGAACTCTTGGTGGGCCTCGCAGGGATCGAGGGCGGGAAACAACACCTAGCCGAGTTCTTCACTAAGGTCCTTGCCACTCAAAGCATACCAGAAGACTGGAACACACCTCTTATGATATTACTTCCGAAGATAGCGAGGCCTGTTGCACCGAAAGACTTGCGCCCTATCAGCATGGGATCCAGTGTGTCAAAACTTTTTTCGAGACTGTTGCTTAACAGATCGATGCACCGCTTGCAGTTTGCTACGCATAGTCAGTGCTGTGGACCTGGACGACAGACTGCGGATTATCTCTTTACTGCATGGAGAGTACTCGAATTGGAGAGGGAATGGCACAGAGGTCTTTGCATGGCTAAGCTAGACATAGCCAAGGCTTTTGATTCCCTCGACAGGGAGCAGGTGCTTACAAAACTCATTGACAGACTTGGAGACACGGCTGAAACACGGTGCTGGAGACAACTACTGCAGGAGAATGTGGGTTTTCTTCAAACTCCGTGGGGCTCCTCCCACGTTCGCATGCAGCAGGGCATCCGCCAGGGCGCCATCGAGTCCCCTATTCTCTTTGCACTCGCTGCTGAGCTTTGTCTTGCTGAAACAGCCAGGCGATTCAGGTGGGACAACAACAAGCAACTGTTCGAAGGGTTCACGATGCACGAGATGTTGTTTATGGACGACTCTTTGCTCTGGGGACAAGGGACACAGGAGTTGGAAACCAGGATTAAGCAACTTATGGTTGTGCTATCGGAATACGGCCTTAAGCTGAATGGGAGCAAATGCCAGCTCTTGACATCCCCGCACTGGGGTGGTGCAAAGTTCATACATGTGGGTGGGGTCAAGGTGGAGGCGGTGCACACCATGGAGATCATGGGATTGCCAATGAGGGTCGGAATGAGCATGTGTGAACTTATAGGCCCACTGTTGAGCCGGGCCAAAAGCAAATTTTGGGCAGCGAAGCACGTCCTTAGGTCACATGCGCCCGTCAAGGGACGGTTACAGTTGATGGAACGCCTCGTGGGTGGTGCAGTGCAGTGGTGTCTTGCAGCGTTTCCACCGGACCGGAGTGACATTGGCCTTTTGAACTCCACCCAGCAACTGATCTCAGTTTGGGCTATGAAATTGGGCAAACGGGACTCGGAAAACTGGGAAGGGTTCCGGAAACGAAGCCACAGAGCAGCACGTGCGGCGCTTCATCATGCTAACCTTGAAAGATGGGGAACTTCGTGGATACGCAAATGGTGGCGTTATTCTGGGCACAGAGCAAGAGGGTTGTTGAGAGATGCGCCGCCGATTCGTGCCCACATAGATTCCTTTCGCACGTTGTCGTGGTGGACCGGGGAAAAGAGGAAGAAAGATGGTTTACAGCATACTCACCATTATCCGAAACTCATGAACATGGAAAGGGCTATGGATGCTGCAGCAGGCGAGGAGTGGCGAGTTGTTGCGCAAGACAGGGTTGAGTGGAGACGGAGAGAACAGACCTTTGTCGACAACTTGGACCTCCCGTGGAGCAGTAGCAGACAGACACAGCTCCTTGATTGGCAGTGACTCCTGATGCAAGGGATCGAATTCAGAAGTGGTGCTGCTGACGCAAATGTTCCACCTGCAGATGCGGCTCGACCTACAACAGCAGGTTCGTAGCAACGTGATCTTTTGTGTGCCACTCCCGTAGGGATGAGGCACGACTCCATGTTTGGGCATTTTGCCCGCCTTCCATACCAAGGTATCCCTATCCTTTTAGGGGCTTTTCAAATGGTGACCTCAGGGGCCGGCTGCAACTTGATGATGAAGAACGGCGAGGTGGCCCCGCCAGACCAGGGAGGCACCCTGAGGTCCGAGGAACGTCCCGGAGGAGACACGCGTCCTTCACATGATCCGGGAGTATCTCATGCAGCTCGGCGGGACCTGTACCCCGGCATCTCCTCCCTTTACCCGAACCAGGACTTTGATTACGACGGAGGAACCACACCGCTCCGACCCCGCGAGTGCCAACCACCACAGTGGAACTGGCGCCAGAATTCGACCGACAGCCCTGTAAGCTGGAAGCCAGTGCCTCCCTGTGCCAAAGACCCGTGCACACCAACGGCACCGACCTCAGGAGGGGGTCACGATTCCGGACTACCTCTTCAAGATCGGCGGCCCGACGACCACGACCTCACCTTCCCCTACCTGATTCGGAACTATGTGGAGGGAGAACCATCTGAATACGAAGCGCACCAACGGCGACTCCAAGCATGCCTCCTTCGCCGCGAATGGCGACCTGACAGCCATCACAGCGACCACCGGTACTTCAGTCAGCTCTATGTGGAAGGCGTGCCCTTGGAGCACCAGAGGCAGCAGTGGCGCCCCCCGACGGCCCCTGCCTTGCCTGCTAAATGGAGCTTGAACCAGACCCTCGCCTTCCCGTGCCTAGACCAGGGGTATGTGAAGGGTCTGAATATGGGGCGCACCAAGGGCGACTCCTACCGGATCCGGCCGTATGTGCGACACAGCCCAGGGACCAGGGTCGTGGAGAGAGTGGCGGACCTCAACAGCGACTACCCCCAGTTCCGGGACGACCTCCACAAGATCGGCGGTCCCAGCACCAGGACCTCGGCCTCTACTACACGATCCAGGAGTACCAGGCCCCAAGGACCCGGGTGAGGGAATGTGATGGTGCGCGCAAGCCTAGCAAGGACCGCAGGGACGACGAGTTTGAAGGGGTCACTCTCATGCAAGCAGGGACGCCTAGCCCAGCTTCTGGAGCAGGCGGTGGAGCAGCTGTGCCCAGTACTGATCCCAGGGAAATCATTACGCGGGCACTGCAGCAAGTCTGGAGGCTGCTCAAGCATCGACGCAGAGGCACCCTTCGACAGACTCTACTACAAGCAGTGGACGAGCGAGCAGAGGCGGGCTTCCGCAGCTACTTCAACACCCGAGTCAGCTCGGTCTGGGATGAGCAAGACCGACGAGGAGATACCGGAGGGGCGGACATCGCAGAAGGGCTCGAGGTGGACCAAGAGTGGATGAGGGCCGTGGTTGACCTCATGTGGGACGAGTACCGTGAACAACATCCTGCTGACCGATGTGAGCGAGCCAGCAGCCGAGGGGCTCCCTCCAGCAGTTCGGCGGAACCACCTCGACGTGCGGGACCCCCGCCGCCCGAACCGGTGAGGTATGACCCGCCTGACCGAACCAGCCACACAAATGACAGCAGTGAGGTGTCTACAGATGAGAGTGACGCTGTGAGTGCGATGCAAGCTCTAACGTGGGCGGAGTACCACGACGAGCCTGACAGACGCTGGAGACTCCGAGCTTGGGAGATCAGGGATGACATCGACATGATGCTGCGCAACATGGTTTGGAATGGAGACCAGGGTGAAGCATGTTACTGCGCGAGGTCCATCTATAGGCTCTTCCTGCACACCTGCGACACTACAAGTACAAGGTCGCGAAGCTGGGTGGAGGCTGAGGTGGGCCAGGCTTTCCGCCCCCATCTTTTTCGGGTGCCAAACCCGTGGGACTTCGAGTTGGACCCTGACATGCAAGGGTGGCTCACCGGCATCAAGGACCAAATCGTAGCATGCGCCAACCTCAAGCACGACGACATCATGGCATACAGGGAAAGAGTGGCGACAAGAAAGAGACGACGTGAACAAGAAGCCACCCAGGGCCGACCGGGGTCCAGTACTGACGTTGCGGCGAACCGGGGAGAAGAGTCAGAGGAGCACTTCCAAGCTGATGACAATGTGAAGGTGCCGTCGCTGCAGGAGAACATCCGAACCATGACGGCCGAGTACCCCCCAACAGCAACAAGCACCGCTGTGACAGGAGATGCCAGCTCGAGGCCAGGGCGAGACCCAAGCGGAGGAGAAGAAGAAGATGCTGCCTCTTTGATGGCAGGTGGGAGACCGCGCAGCAGGTCACCAGTTCGGAGGGGAAGAGCCAGTGCAGGCTCTGACAGCGCGGGCAGCAGCAGGGGCCCCATTGTCACGACAAGCACGCGAGTCCTTGAGCCCAGGGTCCCCAGAGACACTACGCGCGGAGGCGCGGCGCGGAGGGCCTGTGCCGACGCAGACAGACCAAGGCATGAACGGTTGGAGCCTAGACACCCGGAGCCTGTGGACCCGGCAGCTCCGTTACCACTGTCAGTGGCGGAAGCAGTTGATCTTTGGCGGCAGCTGCTGGGATTGAGCGACAACCAAAACATGGGAGACATGGACAGGGCGGTGGAGAGCGGAGGCCGAGTCATCCCCAGGAGCGCAGCGGACAATGCGGTCGACACCATGAGAGAGTACGACCGCCATGACCTCGCCATCCTGACGATTGGCCTGGTGGAGCTCGTGCGAAGGCTCATAGCTGAGGGGGCTCAGATCCTTGCGGCATCCGAAGAGGACCTGGTCGAAGTGGAGGTAGAGCGGGCGGATGGCCACAGCCTCATGCAGATGTCCCAGGCGACATGCAAAAAGACCTTCAAGGACCAGGCTGTGGTTCTCCAGGAGTTCCAAGTGGCTTGGGCTGCTGAGGCTGCGGGGCGGGCATCGGGACTCAAGCTGAGGGAGCTGCAGGGCAAGGCCAAACGCTACCGCCTGCAGCACGGGCCGAATGACGTCCTCGACCTCTTCGACGCTTTGCTTGTCACCATGCAGGTAGACTTGGAGCAGGAGGTGGAGGGGACCACCTTGGAAGATGGCGAGATGAGTTGGTTGCAAACATGGTGGGAGCGAATCTGTCGTCATATGCAACCGCCAACCTCAGGAAGCTCGGGGTCAGGGGACGCTGTATGGATCGACCCCCGAGAGCCAGAAGAAGGGGAAGCTCTTGCTGCCGAAGAGGTAGCCTATATGGCTGAGGAGCGGTGCCAGAAGCTGTGGAAGCAAGCACAAGAAGCGCAGCACGACGCCGAGGAGGAAGAGTACGACAGGCACATGCAGCAAGTCTGGGAGTCGCACGTCAGGGAAGCAGAGGCGCAGAGATGGCAAAGCTGGGACGACTGGGCTATGTTCGATGAAATGAGACGTCCACCTAAGAGGCGGCGCTCAATGGTGGAGCTGCAACTGGGGCCGCCACCGGGGGCCAGTGGGGTTGAAACCACCACCCGGATGCCCCTACCGCTACATGTCGGAGATGGGCTTCAAGTCCTCAGGGCTACAGTGGTGGGCAGCCAAGGGAGTGAACCGTCGGAGGGGACGACGGAACCAGTGGAATCCATGGAGCTGCAGCCGCCGAAGTATGACATCACCGCCGACGAACAGCAACAAGTGACTTCGCCGCCTGCCAGCCTGGACTTCCATACCTACCAACAGGAGTGCCAAAAGCTTCGGGACGGGCTCATTTCAGAGGCCTACGTCCTCGCCATGTGGGGAGAAGCAGCCCTAGACCTCATGCAGGCTGAAATGACCCTGGCCGACATGGAGGAGGATGACGGCGTCGCTGTGGAGGGCTCCGGGCACAATCAGCTGGACAACGACATGGCATGCGACGGGAATGGACGTCAAGGAGGGCTGAAGGGGCACTTCCACGACCAGAGCGACATAGTCATGAACGAGAGCGATGAGACCCACACAGAGCTCATGAATCACGAAGATGATGGACGAAGCAGTCAAGCACTACCACAGAGTCCAGGGGGGCTGAGGGGGCAACAACACAACCAGTACGACATGGCCGTGGCCGATGGCTTGCAGACCCACCTGGAACACATGAACCAAGTTGAGGGAGATGACAATCAGCAGTTACCACAGGGTGAAGGGTCCAGTGCGCACAGGGGTTCAACTACCGCGGAGCAAGAAGGCATGAGCTCTGAGGCCACTACAGAAGTCAGGGATAATGCCAAGGGCTGAAGTGGCCCGAAACCTGCTCAACACGAGCTTGGGGAATGCTTCGCTGCAGACACCAAAAAGGTCCTCAAAAAAAAAAAAACCCTAAACCTTAAACCCTAAAACCCTCAAGCCCTAAACCCTAGACCCTAAACCCTAAACCCTAAACCCTAAAACCCTAAAACCCTAAAACTTAAACCCCTAAACCCTAAACCCTAAAACCCTTAAAACCCTTAAAAGCCTTAAAACCCTAAAGCCTAAAACACTAAAACCCTTAAAACCCTAAACCCTAAAACCCTAAGGCCCTAAACCTAAACCCCAAACTGTTGAGTAAACCACGCCAGGAGTTGTCTAACGGATATTGTACAACTTAAGTACCCAGAGACTCCAAAACCCCTTAATTAAGGAATATACCTTAAATTATAATAGGGATCCCATAATAATTTAAGGTATATTCCTTAATTAAGGGGTTTTGGAGTCTCTGGGTATGGGAGTTTCCGAAAATAAGGGGTACTATTTTGAGATCCTTATACTAGGGATCCTACTATTAAGGGTACTATATTAGGGTCCCCCATTCTCGGAAACCCCC